TAAAAGAGCATCTATAAGATTTTTAAAAACTCTGGAAATCACAAGAAACGCTCTCTCAGTGCCGAAATGTTCAAATGTTAAGTACACAAACCTGTTTTTTTCCAAAACTATGCAGAAGACTCATGAGTCCAAATAAAATATAAAATATAAATCTTAATTGCCATATCAGCCTTCTGTTGGCCAATAGCTTAGTAAATTAGGTGGAATGTTATGGTCTGATCACGGATGTTCATTGTTCGAAATATTCTGTACAGTAGGAGCTGTATCTAGCCCCAGTAAAGTTCCAAGATATGACTGGTCTCTAGGATCCAACATTTGCTCAGGCCTTACGGGATGAACAATATTTGCAGGTTGTGGAGTAAGAGTGTATTTCTCTAGAAATGATAGATCTGTTGCTCGTTGGTAATCTGTCTGCTCAGGTTGTGGAGGAAGAATGCCATGCGACTGAGTAGTATGCTGTACCAGATCAGCTTGCGGATCAGACATCTGAACTGGTACCAGAGTCACAGGCACACATACTTCTGTAGATACATTCTGGAGCAAAGTTTTGGCTTCTGATTGATATGCTTTGGACTGTTCCACGTACTGTTTAGTCTCAGTTTGGTAAACTTTGTCATCAGAGCGGTACTGCACTGGTAAGGAGACTAGCTTTTCCTCTGAAGAAGATGTCAAGGCCTCTTCTGCAGCCTTTGATCCATGAACATGATCAATATGATATTTCAGCTTGTCTTTTCGTTTAAATGTTGCATTGCAGTGTTGGCAATTAAAAGGTCGAGCATCTGAATGAATAACCATGTGTTTTGTTAATGTTTTCTTAATTCTAAAAGACTGATTACAGATTTGACATTTGTAGGGTTTTTCACCTGTAAAGACAGAAGTAAGAATTAGTTATTCTGAGTAACACCGTGTCACACATAAATATACAAATACATGGCATAGAGACCTAGTATAAAACAATGTTACTGAAAACGAAGAGTATATATTCACAATTTTGGAATCAAGGGAGCCATTGGAAGTTTGTTTAGAAGGTATAAAAGCACACTCTTCTTACATACAATTCTCTCGATCCTTGGGATTCCTGCCAGGTACACACAATCAGAATATAAACCAAACAAAAAAAGAACAGTCTTTCAACTGTTCCGATACTGGTATTAAGTGAACTCAATGTGTACTTCTATACATTTTGAAAGGACAATGATTTCCCTAAATATAAGGTAGGAAAAACAAAGTCAAACTTATAAGGACATAAACCTTTCCAAAGGGATTTCAAATTGTTGTTGAGAATACCACTAGTATTCTCTGGACCACAAAAATGGTTACAAGGTCTGGGTAAACTTGACAACAACACATACCAGTAAAGTAAAGGAAGAAGTGTAGAGAACATACCACAAACCTGTGCTGAGCGTTATCAGTATTTCAACTGATACATTCAGAAGGTAGCATTCAGGAATGACCAACATATGAGAAAGAATAAAGTCTTGCTGCTTCCTTCTACTCTTGCCCTGAATGCTCAACAACCATAATGAATTAAATAATTCCACCAGTGTTGATGCATAAAAACACATCCCTACATGTTTTGTGGTTTTGTTGGGGTTTATTTTTACCTGAATGTGTCCTAAAATGCATTTCCAAACTTGATTTCCCTTTAAAAACTTTCTTACAGACTTCGCATTGGTGAAATGTTGCTTTATATCTTTAAAGAAGACAAGACATTTCATGTTAGATACTTTTTTTTTTAAAAAAAAACTCACAATAAAGCTATGTGCATAGTCCTTTCTGAAATCTTTAACTGCAAAATAGCTGAATATCAAAGTTTCCTCACTTGTGTTCACATTTCCCAGCATCTGCATACCAATAAGATCAATTAAGATTCTACTTAATATTCTCTGCTGATATTGGCACTTGGTATTAGAAGAGCAAAAGCCACTAAAACTACTTTTCTGACCCCCAAAACATTCTGAAGTAACAGGTTTTGCCCAACATCCACAAGAGGCATACACTGTAAAGTACTAGGAATGGTTTAGGCTACTGTCAAGAAAAGGCAGAGAATAAGTAGCTAATGTACAATACTTTCAACACAAACACATCTAGAACAGCTTCTACACAGTGCTAATGAGTACAAGCAGTTAAAACACAATTTGGAAAACAACTAAGTCTCAGTTTATTTGACAGTCTCTGAAAGGCTTATTTTTGGAGCCCAAAAATTTAAAAACCTTATTGCATTTTCAATGTATAGACATAACTCAGGTTTCAAAGATTTTATCTACTTTCAGGGCCACTAATCTGATACTAGCTTCTAAAAATCTTAAGCATGGGATAGTTCCCACAGTGCTTAAATTATGTCTAATAATTCAGTCTTAACTAGTCTGCAATTACAATATTCCAGCAAACTATCAATTTAGAACAACACTGAGACAGCTAATTGACAAATTAAAATTTGTTCCTTTTTAATGTTTATTTTATTTACTTAATTACGCTACAAAGAAAACAAATTATGCTACAAATCTGCTTCAAACCATAATAACAATAGCCTCTATCAAGACTAAGCTAACGGGCATGACAAAGACACAGACTACTAGAGTTGCACGTGAACGTGCAAGTCCAACAAAATCAGTTGCAATACGGAAGTATTTATGCAGTTATAAAAAACCCTCACTTACTTCTGCCAAACTTTTTCTCCTAGATGAACACTTTTATAATGAACAGTAAGGTGATCTCTACGGCCAAAACACTTTCCACATTCCTCACACTGATGTGCTTTTTCACCTAGAAGGGCAAAATTCAATAAATTTTGTTTAAATCTTCTGGAAGTTATTAAATGTTAAAAGCCATGATTTTAAGACATACAGTAGATCCATGTTCACAAAGTTCAGCCAGTCAAGCTCTTCCATAAGTTACTCAGAGAAGGATTCTCTGTTATCAAAGAACAAAATTCAGGAAGTAGGTTGGTTCTATCAGAGTAAGGATTTTTACCACTTGTTATATATGACCATTACTGCTTGTCATTTCTACAAAGAAATTCATGTTCATGAGTTAAGGGACACTTCCCCAAACACCAACTGCATGAGAGGTACAAGTGAATGACTAGGATTCTACTCTCTTTGTTACGACCCGAAATGTGAAATCTTCAGTTATTCAGGGGCTTTAAGAGAGAAGTTTATTTAAACGTACCAATTATTGTCAGCTACTAATTTTCAGAACTTAAAATTACATCATAGTATTTCTCTTTTTAATTATCCTGATGTACACAGTTACCTTTTTCTTTTATGATGCTGTTTAAAAGTATCTTGATTCTTTTTAGTCATCTTGAGATCTTCCACAAAGTGGCAGAATGTTTCTTCTCATGTAAGTAGAACGAGTGTGGACAGTCAAAGAATGTAACTTTCTAGAGGGGGGGAAAGCAAATAGAGTAGAAAAGAGGATTTTTTTTTTTTT